CTCGCACCGGGTGGCGAGCGATTTGAGTACGCTCTGCGATTCAACTTTCGGACTTCAAACAATGAGGCCGAATACGAAGCACTCCTGGCAGGCCTACGCGTTGCCAAAGGACTGGGAGCCAACCACATTAAGGTCTTTAGTGACACCCAGTTAATTGTAAATCAGATTAAGGAGGAGTACCAAACGAAGGACCCCCGAATGGAAAAATATCTAAGCAAGGTCAGATCGCACCTCGCCCAATTCGGGACTTACGAGGTGATTCAAGTTCCAAGATCTGAAAACTCCAATGCGGATGCCTTAGCCAAATTAGCATCAGCGTATGAGACCGATCTGGCTAGATCGGTCCCGATTGAGATCTTGGACAACCCTTCAATCTTGGAGCCAAATATGATGGAGGTTGACACTCCATCACCTTCTTGGATGGACCCAATCGTGGAGTTCATCAAAGGAAATCCACCGCAAGATCTGAAGGAGCAAAGAAAGATGGCACGGAGAGCAGCTCGGTTCACACTCTGAGAAGGAGCGTTGTACCGACGTGGCTTCTCTCTGCCTCTGCTTAAGTGTGTGACTCCCAAAGAAGGCCTTTACATTCTTAGAGAAATCCATGAAGGGGTGTGTGGAAACCACTCAGGCGCCAAGTCGTTGTCGGCCAAGGTGGTTCGACAAGGGTACTATTGGCCCACTGTCGAACAGGATGCAAGGCAATTTGTGAAAACCTACAACAACTGCCAGCGTTTTGCAAACATTATTCATCAACCTCCCGAACTGCTTACCCCCATCTCGGTCCCATGGCCATTCGCGCAGTGGGGGGTAGATATCATAGGTCCTTTTCCTCTGGGCAAAGGACAAACCAAGTTCGCCGTTGTCGCTGTGGACTACTTCACCAAGTGGGCCGAAGCCGAGGCACTATCCCACATCACAGAGTCCAGATTCACATCTTTCATATGGGCAAACGTTGTATGCCGTTTTGGTATACCAAATGTTATTGTGACGGACAACGGAAAGCAGTTTGATAACGCGAAGTTCAAGGACTTTTGCAGTAACCTGGGAATACGTCATCTTAGCTCGTCCCCTGCTCATCCGAAGGCGAACGGGCAGGTCGAAGCAGTAAACAAAATCATAAAGCGGGGACTCAAGCTGAGATTGGACTCTAGAAAGGGACGATGGGCCGAGGAGCTACCTGAAGTATTATGGTCGTATCGGACCACCCCGAGAGAGTCAACTGGTGAAACTCCGTTCTCGCTAGCCTTTGGCTACGAAGCTGTTGTACCAGTTGAGATCAGCATACCAACAGACAGAGTAGAGCAGTACGAGCCAGCGAAGAACG